GGAGAAGAACAGGCGGATGCGAAAGAGGACAATCTGCAAAGCGATGGCAGAGATGGACGCGAAACACGCGGATGTGTAATGGAAGAAGATCGTTCGGCGAACGAGATGCGCGGGGGTGGCGCGCGGCGCCACGAGGACATGGCAGCAGATCGCGCGCGAGAAGAGATGCGCGAGGGAAGAGCGAGGCGCCGCGGGAGCATGAATGCAGATCGTTCTGCTGGCGAAATGCGCGGGGGTGCGAGGCGCCGCGGGGGTGCGGATGCAGCCGGTTCGACTGACGGAATGCGCGGGAATGACACGAGACGCTGCGGGAGCACGGATGCAGACAGTTCGGCGGGCGAAATGCCTGAGAATGGCGCAAGGCGCCGCGGGAGCACGGATGCAGACAGTTCGGCGGGCGAAATGCCTGAGAATGGCGCAAGGCGCCGCGGGAGCGCGGATGCGGATCGCTCGCCAGGCAGGCTGCGCGGAAGTAACGCGAGGCGCGGTGAAGGCAAGGAGACTGAGCACGCGCCAGGAGCCAGCCGTGAGGAAGAAAGGAGGCGGGACGTGCAGGCGGGAGTGTATAGCTCGCCTGAGCCAAGACGCGGACATGAGCGCAGGAGGCGCATGGCGTTGGGCGGATGGCGATCACCAGAGCAAGGGGGAGAAGGAAGTGAGCACGCCCACGAGAGGAGGCGCGCGCGGCGCTCGCGTGCACGGCACCGGACGGAGGAGAGGGAAGCACGTGTTAACGGCAGTGTGTGTTGGTGGCAGTACATCACGGGTGCAGATGCAAGAACACACCGGAAAGGAGTAGACGAGTACCCATGCGCGGGAGCGGGGTTGGTGCAGGATCCTGTCGGAGAGGCAAGGGGGAGGCAGGAGAGAGAGATAAACAGGAGAAGGGGTGAGTAAGAGCGCTGCTGGCGAGAGGTGTCCCCAGGGAAGGACCCGGGAAGTGACAAAGGAAGAGGAAGAGAGGATCATGAGCGCCGAGGAGCAGGCGGACGAGGGAGACGTTGTGAAGGAGAGTCCCTTGAGAGGAAGGAGTGGAGGGAGAAGATGAGAAGGAGTGATGAGGAGCTGCGTGAAGAGAAGGAACATGAGTACAGTGAAGAGAAGGAACATGAGTACAGTGAAGAAGAGGACTATGGGTATGATCTGGAACGGCGCCGACGCGGGAAGCCGGAGTGGCGGGAGAAGAAGTCATGCCCTGAAGAAAGAGAGGGGTACAGGGGAAGGCGAGAAGGGCGAATGGAACCTGGAGCGGGGGTGAGGGAGAAGCAGGACCTGAGCGGACAGAGGAAGAGAGGTGACAAGCAGCACATGCGACGGGAGGGGATGCACAAGTATGAAACAGAGAGCGGGGAAGAGGAAGAGAGTGACAGGCGGGCACGCCATGGATCAAGACAAAGGAAGGAAAGCTGGGAAGAATATATCCCTGGAAGGAGAGAAGGGCTTAGGAGCAGGCAAGAAGAACGGAGAGAGTTTCGTGAGAGAGAGGACCAGCAGCAGCGGGAAAGGAGGAAGCGAGAAGGGCGATTCCAGGATTATTCGCCTGAGAGGAGAGAAAGGCGATGGGGGGAAGCAGGCGGGCGAAGAGAGGCTCACGAGGAGGAGCAGAGAAGGAGTCCGAGTCCGAGGGGCCCCAGGAGGCCACGGCAGACAGGAGAAGGATCTAGCGAAGCCAGAGGTGCTAGAGAAGGGATAGACAGGGTGCTGTGTGGGACAAGCACAGGCAGCAGGGGAATGAGGGAGCACAGAGGAGAAGTTAGCCGCGCGGAGCGAGGAGCAACGGGAACCTGGGACTCAGGGAGATGGGGCATGCAGGCGCCACCACAAGTAGAGGTGCCAGTGCGTTTCACGGGGATGGAGGGACAAGCACTAATCTAAAGAATTATCTGATGCAGATTGGGAATGTCAAGTACAGGTGCGATCGGAGTGGGATGGACCCCATCGACTTCTTTTTGAGTTTGCCGAACACTTTGGGTGGGGAAGCAGAAACATTGTATCGCATGAAGATGCATGAGTGGCTGAGGAGGGCAGAGGAGGATGGGGACGACCCTACGTCACTGTTCCTGGAGCGGCTGCGCAAGCAATTCCCAGGACACACGGCAGCGCGAATCAGGGAGTTTCAGGACTTCAAACGCAGGAAGGATGAGTCGTTGCTGACGTATTATGGGCGGCTCATGAACCTGGCCGAGGATGTGGTGTGTACCGACAGCAGCATGCTGATTAGTAAGTTCCTGGCAGGATTGGACGACGGGCTGGCCGGAGGACTGAAAATGAGAGTATACGAGCTGGGGGCAGAAGCAAGCCTGGAGGAAGTGTTTGAGCTAACAGAAAAGGTGGAGCTGGCACAGAGGCGTTATGAGGCATACCTGCCAACAGTGGCTGAGAAGATGTGACCCACCTGGGCGGCAGCAATGATACTGGGGGTGGGAGGCGGAGAGGAGCAGCAATATGAGAGAAGGACAGACACGAAGACCTGCTACAGGTGTGGACAGCCAGGACATGTAAGATTGAATTGCAAGAACTGCGACGTGTGTGGGAAACCAGGGCACCGCCGTCAGAACTGCCCTGACGCGCCAACCTGTGAAGTGTGTGGGAAGAGGGGGCATCAGCAGAAGGACTGCTATCAGAGGACTGGGGGAGCAAGGAGGTCACAAGAGGAGATAGAAACACAGATAGGAAGGCTGCGGGCTCAGCTGCAGGCTTTGGGAGGCAAGAAGGAGAAAGAACCAGGAGTGTACGCGAGGGAAGAGGAAGAGGAGGAAGAGGAGCATGAGCCAGAGCACTCCTGTGCGGTGCTGCGTCGCCATGAAAACCTGGGGTGGAGCAGTGGGGGCAGGGACGGACGAAGGAAGCAAGTGAGTAAGGTGGGGGCATGGGTGTGTGTGCAAGTAACACCAGAAACGGAAGAAAAGGACAAGAAGGTGGGGGCATGGGCGGATGAACCGGTAGCGGTAGGCACGGAAGGGAAGGACGAGAAGGTGGGGGCATGGGCGGATGAACCGGTAGCGGTAGGCGCGGAAGGGAAGGACGAGAAGGTGGGGGCATGGGCAGCAGCAGAAGGGGAGGAGAAGGACGAGAAGGAGGGGGCAGGGGCGTGTGAACTGGTAGCAGCCGGTGCGGAAGAAAAGGACGAGCAGGTGGGGGCATGGGAGTGTGCACCAGCAGCAGCAGAAGCAGAGGAGAAGGACGAGCAAGTGGGGGCATGGGTGTGTGCACCAGCAGCAGCAGAAGCAGAGGAGAAGGACGAGCAAGTGGGGGCAGGAGCGTGTGTAACAGCAGCAGCGGAAGCAGAAGAAAAGGACGAGAAGGTGGGGGCGGGTGTGTGTGTAACAGCAGCAGCGAAGGCAGAGGAAAAGGAAGAGCAGGTGGGGGCGGGAGCGTGTGTACCTGCAGTAGCAGAGGCAGAATGGAAGGACGAGAAGGTGGGGGCACGACCGTGTGTACTAAAGGCAGAGAAGCAAGTGCAGGGAAGTATGAGGGCGGAGCAGCATGTGAGGAAGCTGAGGGAAGAACGTACGGAGCTGCTGGGGGAGAAAATGGTAAAAGAAGCCGTGAGAGGAGCTGAGACGGGTGTGAGGAGCATAAAAGTAGGGATGGCGTGCGACTGGGGGACAGGAGACCTACGGGTAGGAGGATGGGAAGGTCCAGTGTGGGACAAAGCCCAGGAGCAAGAGGAAGCAGAGAGGGAGAGCAAGGAAGTGGGGGCATGGGAGTGCCTGCCTGTGGGGGAAGAAAGGCAGCATACAATGGAAAATGCGACGAGTCAGGAAGCAGAAGAGGCCGTGAAGACGGTAAGGTGGATTAAGGGAGGAACATGGGCAGATGAGCCGATGCGGCTAGCATCCCAGGTGCTGTCAGAATCCAGGGGAATGGAAGAGGCTGAGAAGTGGGCGGCCTGGGAGGGAGGCAAGGCAGTAGGACACCTGAAGGAAGTGATACTGGCATTGGTGGAGGACCTACATGTGGTGCAGATGGGGGATGCGTGCAGCTATGAACAGCGGCAGCAGCTGGGTGGCAGGGGGACAGAAGAGGCTGTAGGGGCAGGGCGGACAGAGACGGACAAAGGAGGACAACAGAAGAGGGGGCGGGTGCAAGCGGGGCGAAGTGTGGGAGTACTGGAGCTGGAGAAGACGAAGAGAGAGCTGACCGTGGCAGGAACCAGACCCACAAGGCACGGATGAAGAGCAGCCGTCCTCAGCTGGGAAGTCCTGTGTCTCGGGCCCGAGCGGCTTGAGCACGAGCACAGGAGGGGGAAGGTAGTGGCTGAGTACGAAGAAGGGAACCAGGGGACAGGGACAAGATAGATGCAAGGGTGAGAAGGAGAAAGCAGCAGGAGTACAAGGACAGAAGCAGGTAACGCAAGAGGGGTTTCTCCGAGCACAGGAATCTATGCTGTGCGGGGCGTAATCTATGCTGCTCAGAGCACAGGAAGCCGCCGCCCTTGCTGCTGTCAGTGGTGATGCTGCTGGTGCTGGTGCTAGGGTTAGGATTTGGGGTTTAGGGTCACTGCTTCCCTGCAGTCTATCACGAGTGGTAGCAGCAGCAGCCTTTTGTGAACTCGTGTCAATTTATATACTTTCCTGTTTCCTGCTGTCTATGCTTCTCTGCAGTCCATTCACCAGCGCCTGCAGTCCTTTTTACATGAAAAAGCAGTGGCGGCAGCAGCAGCAGCGAGAGCAAGCACCAGGAGTGCGGCAGCAGGGGGTGGGGGAGGAGGGCAAGAGAAAGGCGGAGGAGGGAAGGGAGGAGAGGATAAGGAGGAGAAGAAGGGAGGGAGAGGAGGGGGAAAGGGAGGAGGGAAGAGGGGTGGAGGAAGGGAGATGGAGGAGGAGGAGGAAGAGGAGGAAACGGGAGGGAGAGGAGGGAAGGGGAAGAAAAAGGGAGGAGGGAAGGGAGCAAAGGGGAAAGGTGGGGGAGGATGGCGAGGAGGGAAAGGGAAAGAGGAGGAGGAGGTGGAGGGGGAGAGGGGAGGCGCGGAAAGGAAGGGCAGAAAAGACGAGGCAATGCCGACGGTGGCTGAGATGACGCGATTGGTGCTGACGTGGCATCCTGACCTTCTGGAAGCTACTGTTGCTGGTATGCTTTGTTTTAAAAGTGCTGGTGTACTGTTGCTTGTATGCTCTGGCAGTAGGTGTCTCTCTGTCTAGCTGGTAAGATTTTGGTCTGAGCCTGGTTCAAAGTGATTCATATCCAACCCCTCAGTCCACCACCATTGCTCCATTTATCCCATCCCATCGCACATCTGAGTTTCTTCCCATCCCATCCGTTCCAGATGACGATGCTTCTGATTACAATGAGGCTGATGATGCGGAGGGAGGGGGCTCGGCCGGCCTTGCTCGTCTGCTAGTGGCCGCCCTGAAGCCCGCCCTAGCTTCTTATTGGGCGGAGGAGCGACGCCGAGCCGCAGCCTTTACGTCCGGAAGCACCACCGAGACTCGGCGACAGGTTCGGATATGCACTTATACATTGCGTGGTTAACTATTTCGGGACTATCAAAGCATTGAGTAAGCTTTATCAACCAACGAGCCTTGCCCCACTATTTCTGACAAAGGTTTATGTATGATCAGCTATGCAGTGAAACAGATTACGGTTGTTTTGTATATGTGTCCATTTATTGTGTATGCGCATGTGGCAGGTGGAAGTGCATTGTTTTTTAACAACTCAAATATCATCTTAACCAAGAGTGTGTGTGTGCATGTGTGCATGTCGCACGTGTGGTAGGCTGTGGAGCATTGAGTGAATGTCATGCTGGGGTAGCTGGTGCTGTATGCACACGGGGCAGCAGCTTTCAACTCGGACGAAGACTTTGGAGTTTACTAAAAAATCACCCTGTGTGTGGTGTGTGTGGTGTGTGTGGTGTGTGTGGTGGGCATGTATGTGTGCACATGGCAGGTGCGGGAGGCAGTGGAGTCTCGAGTAAATGCCATGCTGGGCCAGTTGGTGCTGTATGCACATGGGGCAGCAGCTTTCAACTCGGATGAGGATGCAGCTACTGCTGTAAGTGTGACGGTAAACCAACTCATGAGAAGAATGTTCGCCGGGTCAGCTGTTTTATCACTGCATGTAGATGTGCGCCCCACATGGACATGCATGTAGTTGTGGGCCCCACATGGAGCAGCAGCTTTCAATCCGATCCGGACGATGCAACCATTGCTGTGAGTTTGATCGTAACCCAACAGAGTTACTTCCAAGGTAAAGATTTGCCCTGCTGCCTCTGAAAGTGCCTCTATCTGTATGCACATGTTCCAGGGGAGTCGAATTTGGACAACAATACAGCAACTGTGGTAAGTCTGTTGTTGCTTTCTTTGGGGCCACTGACCCTATTCATTGGTCGGTCACTCATCTCTTCTCTTCGCATCTTCCCCTGAGCACATACATGTTGCATCGTATTTGCTTCCAACCACGGCTTCCTCAACATCCGTCTCACCCTCCATTATCATTCGCCCTCTCTCTCGATCTTCCACCAAGCCATCATGCTCATCTCATCCCACCTCATCTCATCCCACCTCATCTCATCCCGCCTCATCTCATCCCACCTCATCTCATCCCACCTCATCTCATCCCATCTCATCTCATCCCACCTCATCTCATCCCATCTCATCTCATCCCATCTCATCTCATCCCATGCCACACCTGCCAGCCTGCCAGTCTTCTCCAAACCTCGCTTTCCACACCCGAATTGTCTTCCTTACCCTTTCCCTTCCTTCTCCATCTCGCCATTTCTTCACCGTCTCCCTTCACATCCATCTCCCGCCCTCTCTCTCTCTCTCTACTCCTTCCACCAAACCCTTATCTCCACCATGTTCTCCCAACCTCGGCTTCCATACACTAGTGCCTCCCTTATCCCTCTCCCCCACTTCCCCCCGGACCCCCTCCAACCCACCCTCCTCTTTCCACCAGACCCTCATCTCCCGGCACGTTCTCCGAACCTCGGCTTTCGAGCCTGTCGACCTGCTTCTGCACGCCGTGCTTCTGGACCATGACGTCATCACTGCCCAGGATGACGCCAGCAGCACCAGCAGCAATGGCGGAGGGAGCAGCGGGAGTGGGATGCAGGCCGGGGAGCAACAAGAGAGCACTGGAGCAGAAGCAATGAGCGAGGAAGGAGCAGGAGGAGGGATGGGGCGTGAACAGAAAGATAAGGGAGCAGCAGCATCAGTGCTCGGTTCAACCCCAATCATCTACACGCCAGCACGGCGGGCAGCGTTAGCAAAGTTGCTGCCAGGCGGCGGTCCCAGGGAGCGGGCACAGAGGATGATAGCAGCACTGGAGGGCAAGGAGGTGGAGGCGGTGCTGCTGCCCCTGGAGGAAGTTGCTGAGAAGGATCTCGGCATCCGGCTCAAGCGCCCGGATAAGAAGGCTGAGCGTGCGCTGCTCTTCTCAATGAAGAAGGTGAGGAGTGGTAGGCGTTTAGACTATGCTAGGCAGAGCCTTCAGCTGCAGCTCGAGGCAGAGGAGGATGCTGTTTAGGCTGTGCCAGCTCGAGCTTAGCCCCTTTGCTTTAGTGGCTGCCAAACGCCGCTCTTCTCTCTTCACCCTCCTTCACCCTCCCTTCCCCGCCAACAGAGCCTTCAGCTGCAGCTCGAAGCAGAGGAGGAGCGCTTATGCTTGGACTGTGCCATCTTGTGTTAAGGCACTCCTGTGCTGTGCTGTATTCTCCCCGCCCTCCCTTTCTCGCCAACAGAGCCTTCAGCTGCAGCTTGAGGCAGAGCAGAGGAGGATGCTGTTCTTCTATGACTTGCTAGTTGTTTGTAAGGCATCTCAAATCAACCGTGTCTGTCGTTCTCGCCACTTCACCCGCCCTTCGCCCACCAACAGAGCCTTCAGCTACAGCTGGAGGCAGAGGAGGATGCTGTTGCAACACTGCCCCTCATTGTGGCTCTTCTCTTCATGCAGGTACTCCCCTCTCCCTTCCTCTCTTTCTCCCTGCTCGTACCTCCGCTTTTCCTTCTGCTGCCTTCTCCTCTTTCTTCTCCTCTTTCTTCCACTCTTTCTTCCCCTCTTTCTCCTGCTGTTATTCTTTCGATCGTTCTTCCGTTTCTGCCTTTTCTCCCTTCCACACATTCCATGCTCCCTTCCTTCCTTCTTGCACACAAGCTCTTGCCATCATTGCTCCTCGTGGAATGAGCACAATCATCCCGTTCCTCATTCCCTCCTACCACTGTCACTCTTAGCTCACCTCTCCCCCCCCTCCCCCTCCCTCTTCCTCCCACCCATCGCACAGCCGCCTTTCCTTTCAGAATTTCATTTACCTGCTTTCCCTCACGGCCTTTCTGCCACTACCCACCTCCCTCCCATCCGTGTGTGCCCCTCTTCGTCTCCCCCCACACAGGCACACAACAGGGCCCTTCAGGCCCCCGGCCGCGCTCTCTCTGCCGTCATCACCCATCTCAAGCCCTCGCTCTCCCCTGCTGACTTCTCCTCTCTCTCCACCTTGCACTCTGCTGTTGTCGCTGCTCTTGGCAAGCGCGCAGCAGGGGGGAGAGGGCCGGCAGGGGGAGGTGAGGAGGGGAAGGAGGGAGGGGAGGAGCGGGTGGATATGGAAGCGTTGCTGAAGGGACTGAAGGAACTGACTCTGGGGAAAGCCAAGGAGGGAAAAGCTGGTGGTGGTGATGAGTGATGTGTGTGGTTGTGGTGACAGACTAGCCAAGCGCATAGCAGGGGGCAGAGGGCAGGTGGAGGAGGAGAGGGGGGAGGAAGGAGGGGGTGGATCTGGATGCACCGCTCTCAAGGGACTGGAAGAATTGGCTCTGGGGAAAGCCAAGGAGGGAAAAGGTGGTGGGGATGAGTGATGGGATTGGGACATTTGTTGACGGGCAGACTAGCCAAGCATGTCCTTCAATACCTTAGATAGAATGCCTACTTGTATGGACACTCCCGTGGGTAGCCTATGCGGACCTGGATGATTCAGTTGGGCAGGTTTCAAGATAAAGTACACCTTGATCTTTAGTCTGAAAACAACACTGAACTCTTCCCTCCCTCTCCTGGCTACTGGTAAACCACGATCAAATGTTTTGCAGTTTTTGGAGATTTTCGATACATGAAACTCTGGGTTTAATCGATGCTTACATCAATGCTCATGTACACTCTGATGGGACCAAATTTTCTGTCGCAAGTCTTAGGCAACATATTCCAAGATCTCAACGTATTTGACAAAGCCCACACGCTTGGGGCTTCTGCTTGGCGAGCCTGCTTCCAAGCTGCAAGGGCTGGGGGGAGCAGTGAGGCACGGCTTGACACGCACTGGTTGGTGCCTCCTAGCCTCATCCTCGGCTCGCCTACTGCTGGGTGCAGTGCTGGTGCAGCTGGGCACAGCACAAGGCACTGGTAGCACGGGACGAGGAGAGGAAGGGGCACTGCTGCTGCTGTACGTTCTTGCACTAAGGGGCGAGGCAGAGGAAGTGGGAGAAGCAGGGATGCTGCTGCAGGGCGTGGCACTGACGGCACTGGCGCTGACAGCACTGGCACTGTTACCAGCCTTGTATTCATGGGGGCCAATCCGCCAAAAGAATGACCTTGCATATCTGCTAACTATACTTGATGCCGCCAGTGCTGCTGCCGATGGTGCTGCCTCTGCTGCTGCACTTGATGATGTCTGTGCTGCTGCAGTTGATGCCTGGGTTGCCACCACTTGGGAGTCTGGCTTTCCATGAGGCGCTGGTGTGTGTCTGGCAACGACGGCCGCCGGAGTGGAGTACGCTTTACTCCGCGCAAAGACCCGAGGCAACGGCGTGGTATCCTCAGCACCATCTGAACGCTGCATCGTCGTGCTTTCGTCTTCAGAAAAGTAAAACAAACTGGGTTTCTTGGAAAGCGCGAGTTGGTGGCGGCGGCGGCGGAACGCGCAGGCGGCGGGTTTGCCCCCGCTGGGAGGCGAGGGGAGCAAGAGCCGCCTTCCGCACGCGCCAGAGACGGAAAGCGCACGGCGGTGGGCAGACCCCAGCGCATCTCCGCGACGGAGGGAGGCGGAAGTAGCTCGTGAAGCGGACGCGGCGGGAATCGCACAGGGACGTTGCGCAGGGCAGCCAGAAAGCACCGGGTCCGATGCGTAAAAGTCTACCCGATGGTCAAATTCACATTCTGCCTGCTGCTCTTCCCTCCAGTGCGGTGGATAAAGATCGCGAAGCTCCACGAGTGAATTACACGAGGCGGTTCGCGAAGTTGTAGAAGAGTATCGCTGGGGGCGGCTCGCCATTACGTGATGGGACACGCTGCACGCAAAACGCGATAGCAGTACTGGCTATGGTTAGGTGGAGTGCAGTGCGGTGGAATTAGTAGTAGTCGGAATCAGATGTGAAGTTTCTAACTTTGAAACGAGTTGGTGATGTGAAGCTGAGGCAATCACGCGCAGCATTATATGATGGCGAGAGGCTCCAGATGCAAAACTAATTTTCCCTTCCTTCCAGAGCCATTGCGGTTGTCTGTCCTTCGAGAGCCATTGAGGTTGTCTGTCCTTCGAGCGATACGCGGGTGACCAATGAGGGTGAACGCGGTGGCGATGCGTTGGACCCCAAGAGGCAGACGCGGTACTACCCGCCAGCATAGTGCCACATACTTCAGGCCGAAGCTGATACGTTAATCGCTTGAGACTTTATCGAGAATTTATCGGATCTGAATGTATGATTGCAAGTGGAAGACAACAGAAGCCCCCTCCAGCATCACCGCCTTCCACGTCGGATGGATTTTGTAGGATGGGGTGTGTCAGCGATTCTGAGCATTGAGCACGTCAAATTTACAGCACCGCCTTCCACGCTGGAAAGATAATCTAGCCATTCTCCACACTTTCAAATCGATTTCGCAGCCCTAAGCACGAAGCACGTGAATCGATCACGTGCAAGGAGTAAACTGACAGAAATGGCAGCAGTGGAAACTTGTTTGGTCAGCAGCACATAAAGCGGATCGAGCACTGAACTTTCCTCACTAGGGACGAGGTGAAGATATGGGAGATGAAGGTTTGAAGAAGAACCACATCATAACTCACTAAACCGCATGGGAAACTGCAATGAACACTGTATATCTTATTTGATGCTGATCTGCTAAGATAAAATAGGCAGCCAGCGGAGACTGTGTCTGGAGGGAGGGCTGTGCCAGAGTTGCGTTTCACCGGATCTAAAGCAATCTGGCGAGAGTCGCCAAGGGAATTTGGATTTCGCAAGAGCAAAGAGTGACAGGCAGGGCTGTCGATTCGTTTTGGGGCCCCCGGGCAAATCAGGGGGCCTGCCACGTGCGACCCTGTATCTAGCAGGTTTGGGGCGAATCTTGGCCCTTAAGGCGTCAGGGCTGGAAAAGTTTCCACCCTTTGAATCAGGTTTGGCGCGTCATATTTTGCTGCTTCATTTTAACTACACTGACTACAACTACAAACTACTACAAGCAAACACTACATAAAAAATATACTTGGCATCATTTCTCTATGCACGCTTAGAAGGCTTCCTAGCCTTGGCAGCAGTGAAGATCTTGTGCAGTTCTACCCACTCCACAGGATAGTCTAGCATCTTCACAGTCATCAGCTGATCTAGCTTAACATCACTAAGAGCAGTCCTGTCCCATGATTTTATTATGTTCTGCCTACTGAAGCCCCTTTCGCACTCAACAGTGCTAAGGGGCAGGACAGCAAGTGCACGCCACAAGTGCACGAGGGTGGGGTAATCATCCCTCCAGTCTGAGGGGCGTAGCACGTTAGTGAGGGCTTGCTGGAAAGTCAGGTCCTTGAACTTCTTGAACATTGTGGCAGCAAAGAGCTCCATCTCCAGCTGACACTCCTGGTACGTGACACCTGCGGATGGTGGGGTGGGCGTAGGAGAAGAATAAGTTAAACATGGAAGCACCTATGATAATAACATTGCTGGGAATATAAAATGTAATGGATCATGAGCATTCTTACGTACCGGGCAGCTTCTCCTTGAACATGTCAAGGAGTTCGTAGAGGTGGACGTTGAGCCATCCTTCACGGTCAGCAGGGCGCAGCGGGTAGTGCATTGGCATGAAGAGTTTTGCCCCGTCAAAATGCTTCAGGTCCCCAAGGCGGTAGTCCAGCTTTGCGATCAACTCCTGCGCAAACTCCTGCCCCAGCTTGATGAACGAATCCAGGTCCGTCTTCTTGTCTTTGCCGATGGGGTTTTCATGCAGTATGTCTTTGATGGTGCATGCGGTTCCTTGCTTGTCGAGGCCGCGGATGGTGATCTCGCGCTTGTCAGGGCTGCCGTGCTTCTCGAGAAAAGCATGCAGGTGCTTGCTCTTCGGGGTCCCATAGTCTGCGCGGTTCTCCACGTAACGTTGCGCCAGCTTCAGCTTCAGTTTATCGACGAGGAGCTTCACCTCGCCGATGTCCACCTGCTCATTAGCAGGGGCAGGGCAGAGGGGCAGGGCAGAGGGGCAGGGAAGAGGGGCAGCAGCTTTCAATCCGATCCCTGCGGCCTCACCGCCCTCACCTGCGGTCCCCGCCGCCCTCAACTGCGGCCTCGCCGCCCTTACCTGCGGCCTCGCCGCCCTCACCTGCGGTCCCCGCCACCCTCAACTGCGGCCTCGCCGCCCTTCCCTGCGGCCTCACCGCCCTCACCTGCGGTCCCCGCCGCCCTCAACTGCGGCCTCGCCGCCCTTACCTGCGGCCTCGCCGCCCTCACCTGCGGTCCCCACCGCCCTCAACTGCGGCCTCGCCGCCCTTACCTGCGGCCCAGCCGCCTTCCCTGCGGCCCCGTCACCTGCTGCAGCGCCGCCCGCCACCTGAGCCGCCCGGGCCGCCTCACCTCGCCGAACAGCCAACCGCCGCGCCGCCCTGCAGCAGCACGCCCGAGCCGCCTAGCAGCTGAGCAGCGGAGCAGCCGAGCCGCCCAGCAACCGAGCAGCCGAGCCGCCCTGCAGCCGAGCCGCCCAGCAGCCGAGCCGCCCTGCAGCCGAGCCGCCCTGCAGCCGAGCCGCCCAGCAGCCGAGCCGCCGTGCAGCCGAGCCGACGAGCCGCCCTACCTCCGAGCCGCTCGAGCAGCCCCGTCCAGTGAGCACAGTGCCTCTTTTCTTGCACTGCCCTCACCCTACTGTTGCACTGCTAGTCTACTGTGGTCATGGCTACCCCTAGTGTCCTCGCTTTTGACGCTGAGGGTCGAGCCATTGACTTTGACGTCTGGGTAGACGACCTGCAGCTGTTTTTACAGTGTGATAGGGCAGACGGTCTCTCACTCTTTGACCTCACCTCTGGCGCCTCTCCTGCCCCTGCTGCTGATGCCGACGCCACTGTTCGCTCCCAATGGGCCACACGCGACGCTGCTGCACATCTTGCTGTGCGTCGCCACCTCCGTACCTCCGAGCGTGCGCACTTTAGTCAGTACAAGAGTGCTCAGACCTTGTACGACACTGTAGTTGCGCGCTACTCCTCCCCTGCCACTGCTGCACTGAGCCGTCTCATGCTACCGTACCTCTTCCCTAACCTTGCTCCCTTTCCCACAGTCGCTGACCTCATTACGCACCTCCGCACTAGTGACACTCGCTACCGCGCTGCGCTTCCTGCTGACTTCTGCGCCAAGAACCCCCCCCCCCCCCCATGTACATCACTCTCTACTACATAGTCACTCGCCTCCCTGATTCCCTTCGCGTAGTCAGGGACCACTTCCTCTCAGTCTGTCCCAC